TTCTCACCATGGGATTAAAGTTCTCAAGGTAGAACAGGAGAAGGGCTTTTGTGATTTCAATGGCTCTCACTCTCTCCCAGGTATGGGCAGAGCTGAGCCAGGCTTGCATAGGCTGAGGAAAACAAGGAAAAGACAGTGAGTGTCATGATAAAGTAAATAACAGTTTTAAAAAACAACAACACAATTAGTATTGTTCTAATATACAATGCTCACACACTCCTTTAATATTTACCTTGTACACAAATATAGGAGATTTAACTCCATATTCAGTCAATATGTACCAGTAAGAACTACAGAAATATTATATTATATATAGCTTGTAACTTTTGAGACATCTACAGTAATTGGCAGACAGAATGAAAGTCTGTAACACTCTGATACCAGTTTTGACCTCAAGTGCTTCCTGCAGTCCGGCTGTGCTGATGTTTTGCTGCAGTGTGTGGAGCAGCAGGTACAGGAGAGACTCAGCAAAGTCACTGTACAGCACCTACCCCACACATAGCACAGCCGTTAAGGCTTTAATGGGCAAGTACCAAAAAACTTTGTGTGTTAGTGTATTTTGTCTCAAATAACACAATTACATAAGTTCTTTCAAAACTGTGTGTTTATTTTCCATTTTACAAACTATACCCCACAGGATACGGTGCCCATTTGGGGTATACATCCGAACTGTTTTTGGCAACTGCTCACATAGTCAAAAGAACCATAAAACCATTAAAACTCACTAAGTTTCATGTTTCATTAAAAAAATGATGCCAAGCATACAATACACCCTTATCCCTACATGCTGTGGTGTTTAAAAAACTACAACTGGTGTTAAAACTTAAAACTTACAAGTTACTCTAGTGTTAAAAAATGTAAAATCATACAAAAACCCCAATTCATTTGGGCAAAAAATTGCTACAGTTCATTGTTTTTTTAATACTGGTACTATGAACCTGTCCTTATGTTCAACAGTATTTAATCAAAGATGGAAGCTGCGTAAGCAGTTGCGTGCATTTTGTCCAGTGACAATGCAAAGCCTAACATTACACTTCTCACACCTGATGGACGTCTGTCCATCAGGGCACATCCTGCATCTCCCTTTCACAGACAGAACTGGGTAGTGGCTGTTTCCATCGTAGCACATTTCATCTATAGGCTGTGAGACCTTTGGCTGCTTGACAACCCTCACTGGTGCATCATTCTCATTTCCTAGCGAAGGGCGGCCTCTTTTTTGTTTTTCTGGATAGATGAGACCTTTGGCAACATCTAGCCTGAAGGCCTTCAGTTTCTTCAGCTTTACTGGACCAATTGCTGCTGCGTCATGCCGATAGAGCAACCATGCATTATTTACAGCAATGTCTATCAGTTGCCAGAATATGCAAAGGTACCACCGATGGGACTTGGCTGGAGTGTGATATAATGCAATCATCATGTCAGCCAAATCCACACCTCCCATGTGATGGTTGTATTCTGCCACGATCTGTGGACATGGGACAGATATCTGTTTTCCCTTCTTCTTTGAGAAGCGCTTCACTTCACCCACAGGCATCACAGAAGCACATGTGCTAACCAAGGTGACTGTTTTGCTGTCAGCCCATTTGACTATGGCAAGCTGTGCATCGTTTCAACTCGGTAGTCAAAACTACCTCTTCCTCTTTTCAGTAGTTCTCGATCATCTTCCAGTTTGCAGCCCATCAAGCGATTCTTTCGAATGGTTCCCAAACTTCTGAGGCCCATGGAATCCTTCAAATAGGTTAGCAAGAGATGTGAAGAAGTTGTCAAAGTAGACCACACAGTCAGGGGGGTTCCTGATGGTTTTGCAAAGATGCAAAACTACATTGGCCCCTAAGCCAAACTCTTTGAGTGGAATTTGTGTAGCACCATCAAATGTAGACTTCCCCATGTAGACAAAGAAGTCATACACAAAACCAGATACCCTAGCACGCAGAAAGATCTTAAAACCCCATTTCTCGGGTTTGGCAGGTAGGTACTAGCGCAGACTTCCAGCTTTTCAACCTTTGTAAGGCACCATCATTTCATCAATCGAGAACTGATTTTCACTTTCAATTTGTGAGCATTTCGTTCTCATATGGTCTATCACAGGCCTGATATTCACCAGCCGGTCTTCTTGGGACTCAGGGACCAGGTTATTTTGGAAGTGAAGCATTCTGGACAAACATTTGAAGTGCTTAATTGGCATGACATCTGCTATTTTGTCATATCTTGTATCACTGGCCCAGTAATCTTCCATTGCAGGCATTTTCACTACACCCATGAACAATTTGATACCTATGAATGCTTTGATTTCACTGATGTTGGTGTTTATGCTTCCTTCCACCAATCAGTTGGCATGAGTACAGATTGGTCTGATCAGCAATTAGTTCAAAAATCTCATTATCAAAGAAATTGGAAAAATAGGTTCGTGGAGAAAAGATTCCATCTGGTGCCATGAAATATGTTGGTGTTGTAGCTGACTGGTGTTCAAAATCTGCTTTTTTCCACCTAGAAAGGAATAAAATATATAATGGTTTATTGTAAACCACTCCCTTTTTTGCTCACTATACATTCTATAAATAACATGTATTACTTCCATGGACACATTCTCTGTGGTCAGTTAGCAGTCTTGGACATAAAAGTTTTTGTCTGGTTTCCAGTCCACATGCATACATTCATGTGTACACACCCACATGCACACACAGTATATAGTGTTACTTTATCAACAATATCCTATTTATTGGTTTACATCACCTAAATTTCTTAATTTGCTTGGACAGTTGTCCTCCTTCTGCTGCCTCATCACTACAGCTACTGTCACTACTGCTATCCTCGCTGCTACTGCTGCTATCTTCTCTTCGGCCTTCTGCACATACATAGGCTTCATCATCTTCCTCACTTGTCCCTTGCTCTGAATCTGAAGAGCCATCAGGTGGCAAGACTACTGGCTGAATCCCTCTCCTAGACCTACTATAAAATAACTTTGTGGAAATTCCCTGAAATAGTTAGTAAATTATATTAAAGTTAATCAATAATGCAAATGTATGCGATGAAAGAATAAAAAATAGCATTTCAGTTGTTGTTATTTAATATCTAATACTTATGGCCTTTTAAAGAACAGGCACCCATAGTGCTATTAATGACTGTTTTATGCCCCCATTTAGGCAACGTATCCCAGGGGATACAGATATTTACTGTCAGATTTGGAGAACAGTACAAATATAATTCAGATTGTTTTTCACATTAACATGTCATATCATGCTTAAAAATGAATAGCTTTTAGAAATGTGCCCCACAAATTTGTGTTATGTATAAAATAAATACAGGTACTTACCATATGGTCAGTGAAGCCTTCTCCATCTTCCATCATGACAGATTCAGAAAAGAGTGACAAGTCTATCCCAGAATGTTCAGATGAACTCACATTACCTAAGTCCTTAACACATGACTCCCTCGTATGTTTTAATTGGATAAAAAAAACACATGTTCCTAGCCCCTCCCACAGTTGATCAAAATGACAAAACCCACTAAAGAATAGAATTAAGACATCAAAATACATGATGTCAGAAAGATGAATATACTGTATACAGTATATATATATTTAACAAAGGTTATGCTTCAAAATGAAATAGTTAAAGTCATCTGTCCAACCTGTTTGTCTCAAAGGACACCTTAAAGTGACAATATTCTTATGACATTTACTAACATATGTGTCCTACACTAAATTCAACACAGTTGAGTGTGTCACTCCTTACCTGGGGCTCAGGCCCACTGCAATCCTCTGGAGACAATGTGAGCACAGCCTTTGCACACATATGCAGTAAGGTATTGTGCACATCAGGCAGCACTGGGTTGAAACAATTGTACGACAAGATACAGTTAGAGCAGACACAGTACTGATCAGTTATCAACTTTTAGTTATTGTTTGTATAAAAAGAGCTGGAATTCTGTGAAATCATGTAATTTTACTGCTGTAAAATGTGGAATTAAATGAAATAGTCTCACTGCAGCAGCTGACACTGACCATCATTGTCTCCAGGAGCTGGGCTTTGGCTGGGAAGCTGGGGGCCCCAGTGTGACTGGAGCTCAGCACGGTCTGAGAGATCATCCCCACACTGTGGCACAGGATCAGTCTGATGCTGGAGTCCTGCAGGGGGCAGACAGGCACTCCTGGAGTCTTTCAGAGCAGGTAGAGGGTCAGAGAGTGAAATGTGCACAACTGTTAAAACTGTTTTTGTTTTCAGTGAGAGATTATCATTCTAACAGTTTAAGTACTTTCTTTAGAAGATACACTTTGCACTTTCTTTGTCTTGAAAAGTTTTCTTGTCTTAAAGAAAAAAATATGTAGTGGCTAATATTTCATCAGTTTGAATTTTGATTACCCAATTAGCACAAACAGTTTATGAAAGTGTCAGGGCTACTGTATAATCAGTGATACCTGGAAAGGGTATGAGATACTGAGTTTGATCCTGTTTAAAGACACATTATAGAAAGGACCCGTTAAGATTATACCCTCAGGCCTTTTGTTTTTAAAGGAACACTAAGGTTTTGCCTACCTTAGTGGTGAAATGTTGTCTGACTCTGCCAAAAAAGTCAGTCTCCATTCTCTGTTGCAGGAGCCCTCCTGGTGCTTTGAGAGCAACATGCCTATGAGTAAAGGATGAGAGCGATGGTAAAATCACTCTTCAGGGAAAACCAATACAGTGCAGATGGAATCTTCTCATTAGTCATTCTGGCTGTTTGTTTAATGTTAGTTTTTAAGAACTGCATTTATACTAAAATATACCAGATGAAAGTAAGTAACTAGTAATGCAATAGTCAATTGCAACTAGTCATCTAACAAACAACTACACCAGCAGGTTTGAATTTGAACATGTAATACAGCAGCTTTTATTTCCATTGATAAATGATATACTGTAGATTCAAGAGGAGATTCTTCAGATGAAAAAATGAACACTATTTTGGTTTTATGTACTGTATAGACAACATTTATGTCTGTAGTACTATAAAATTAAGTCTTGTGCATTTTCAGGGCTACATTTCTTGCACTTCATCTAAGAGTTTTTGTTCTTCAATGCACCCTTACATTTGCCTACACAACTAATTCTCTGTGTCCCCAATTTGTCAATATCCCTACTATGCCCTGAGAACTACAAGTGTAAAGTCCCATCACAATAAAAAATACAATAGATCTATTTAATCAAGACCCAGATATGACAGAACACAGTTCATTGTGGACTTAATTTTAGTTCTCTTCACTCCACAGGATTTCTTAAAATTCACTGTAATCTACTAAAGACTCTAAATGCATTATCTTTAATACAGCAACTAATAAAACATTATAGTAAAATATAAACATTAAAATTTTAAAATGACATTTTTATTAATAAACACCTAATACAAATCATTATTAATAAATGTGGTGTGACTGGAAAGCTATCAGTTAAATATTTACATTTTCTAAGTGATGGAGGTATAACAGATTCATGACATAGTGACAGTATTTTGTCCACTATATTAGGGAACGTTCCAATGTGTTTCAGTGTTCTGCTTAGTACTCGACAAAGTTGTTTAACCATATGAAGAGATGACTTTAGTTAGTCTCCTACTTCAGTAAACTCTAGAGGGCAGCAGCTTCACTTTTGGTTCACTGCAATTAAGAAACAGTTTTAGTATGAAGCTGCAGACTAATTTCAGCAGCCAAGTTCATTGTATTTGGTCTTTAAGGTAATGAACTACTGTAGCTGTGTACTAACCATGGGATGAACTCCAGCTAGTAAGCTACTTTCAGTTTGTTGCAATTGATCTTACCACTGCAGACATCTTTGATACAGCTAATATCCTCTGACATACGCTATGACTGCAAAATAATAATAATAATAATAATAATAATAATAATAATAATAATAATATTTGTGAAAAGACAAACTAGTCTTTAGACATCTGCTAATTAGGTAGTTGCTTGTGAAAATCATTTAGTCCTGTGCTGTGAGCTAATGTGTAAACAAATGTGGAAGTGATTTTCAGTAGTGTGAGGAATGCGTGCTTGGGAAAACAACTGTGTGAGAGCTTAGAGTCATGTGCAAGATACACTGGGTAGTAAGTGATTTCTTCCTTGCTTTGCAATGCCCATACTTCAGTTTGGGATTTGGGGATTTTTCTTGCTATTTTAACAGAGGTTTATCTGCTTTCACCATAAAAGTGCTGTGTTCCTTACTTGAACTTCTGATGAACAATATTCATTTTAATACGAATATCATTTCAAATCCAGAAGAACAGGGCATAACTGAAAGTGTGTGAATAATTTTTCAAGGTACTGTAAGTGTCCCATTAGTTTAGTTCCAGCAAAAAAAGTATTTTTTCCACTTATGTTCACTTCTACTAGGAACAAATACTGAAAGGAAGGCCAGGGCTGTTAACTCCAATGTCACACTAAAGATATCACCTGCTACTCTTTTGGTAGAGATTTTGTGATGTTAGCAACAGTTGATATCTTTATGATTGTCAAACTGGCACACAAAAGGCTGCATCTTGGTTGAAGGGATGGCTGTGATTGTGCGAAAACCAAGAATGAGAACAGACACTGGCAGTGTCCAAGGTTTCAGTTGTGACACACTTGTGATCTTGCGGCCTTCATATACACGTTCCCACTAAAGTCTGTAAAGGCTTAGGGTTCTAAATTTGTGTTTCACAAGGTTGCTCACAAGGTCCACCAAATGCTCCCTTCTCTGAAGTCTGCTGAAGGGAATACCCCCCTCGCAAAATGATGACATCATGTTCTAGCCTATCAAAGATAAGAGAATAAAGTCATTACGTGTTAGTAAAATTCATCTTTTTACAGTGTTAAAACTCTTAATATTATACTGTATGTAAAACAAAATTTCATTAGTTCAGGTGGGTAGCTGCGTCAGCATGTGTAGTCCGCTACAATATGAATCTAAAGTAACCTAATGAAATTTTGCAAAGGAACAAGTAATAGGTTTATTCCATGCTGAAAAGAGAAGAACGAAAACACAATGTTTCGGCTGTGAAGCCTTCGTCGAGTGACACCTGAAGAAGGCTTCACAGCCACAATTTTGTGTTGTCTCTCTTCTCTTTTCAGCATGGAATTAACCTATTACTTGTTCCTTTGCAAAATTTCATTAGGTTACTTTAGATTCATACTGTAGCACCACGCGGGGTGCTTTAGCATGAGAACAGCGCCTTGGGGCGGGACTACAGGACTGTTTATACTATAGTGGGCGGAGGCTGGGAGAAAGCCTCTTCCCTTCGTGTCTGTGTGTTAGTGAAGGTACAGCGCTGTAACCCCTGTCCTTGTGTGTGTACCTTTCCCGGTTCAAGTTCAAGTTAATAAATGTGTTCAACCCTATTCCCTGAGTCCTATGCCTGCTCTATTCCGAACTGAAACCCGAATTCGTTACAATATTGTATGTATTCTAGGTACAACATTTTGACATATATCCTGGTGTCCTGGCCAAATTTCCCATTGGCCTTTACCAATTATCGCCTCCTAATAATCCCCATCTATTATTGGCCTCATCACTCTGTTCTCCTCGTCGTTGATAGCTGATGTGTGGTGAATGTACTGTGTGAATTATGGCTGCTGTCGCATCATCCTGGTCAGAAACTGACCTGATCAAAGTCACTAACAATCTTCTAATAGCTTCTGATTCTGGTTCTCTTTCTATACTCATTCTTCTTGATCTCAGTGCTGCTTTTAACACTGTTGACCATAACATCTTACTTTCTCGTCTTGAGACTTTGGAGTTTCTGACACTGCTCTCAAATGGTTCAAGTCTTACCTCACTGATCGCTGTCACTTTGTCTCTCTTAATGGGTATAGGTCTGAAATTGGTCTTGTTAAGTCTGGTGTTCCTCAGGGCTCAATACTGGACCCCTTGCTCTTCAGCATTTACATGTTCCCACTTGGTCAGCTTTTAAGATCACATGGCCTCAGCTTTCATTTTTACGCTGACGATAATCAAATATACATCCATACCAAGCCTGACACTGATTTGGCTGTCTCTATTCTATCTAATTGCATCTCTGACATAAAAAGTTGGATTTGGATGACTCAAAACTTCCTTCATCTTAACTGCGACAAGATCGAAGTCAAGCTTATTGGCACCCCCCATCAACCTCATAAAGCCAGTCCTGTAACCTTATCTGTAGATGGTTCTGTACTTGAGCTTCAATCAAAATTGAAAAACCTTGGGGTTATATTTGATTCTGGCTTAACATTCAACCCACATGTACAGCATACTGACAAAACATTTTTTTTTCACCTCAGAAATATAGCTAGACTACGCCCTATGCTATCACTAACTGTGGTTGAAAAGCTGATCAACACATTTGTGTTCTCTCGAATTGACTACTGTAATGCTCTACTCGCTGGGGTATCTAAATCTACTCTGAACAAATTGCAGTATGTCCAAAATTCAGCAGCCAGAATCCTGACCAGGTCTAGTGCAAGTGTTCACATTACTCCTATCCTGGAGTCCTTGCACTGGCTTTTGGTCAAATTTCGTGTAGACTTTAAACACCTCATGCTTACCTATAAGGCTCTGCATGGCTTGGCATCTCAGTACCTGTCTGAACTATTATCACCCTACTCCACACCTCGCAACCGTCGCTCTTCTAATTCTCCTATCCTTACTGTCCCCCAAGCCCATCTACATTGTATGGGTGAGAGGGCCTTCTCCTGTTATGCCCCCAAGCTCTGGAACTCTCTCCCCAAGGATATCAGAGAGTCACCTTCTCTAAGCTCCTTCAAATCCAGACTTAAAACCCTCTTCTTCAGAAAAGCCTTTACTTAACTGGTTTACTTCTTCACCCCTTTCTTAGTACCACCATCCAAGGTCTCCTCTTTATATTGTAATTGTGTTTTATCTTGTGTATTCTTCTTATTTATTGTTGTTGTCATCCTGTATAGCGCTTTGAGAAGCCACCTTTAAAGGCGCTATATAAAATAACGTTTTTTATTATTATTATCCAGGTGGATCTTGCACATAGGTGGTGGTGGAGGGTAGTCCCCATTACCTGTAAAGCACTTTGAGAGTAGTGTCCAGAAAATAATAATAAGAAGAGCTTACACTTATATAGCGCTTTTCTGGACAAAGCGCTTTACAGGTAATGGGGACTGCCCTTCACCACCACCACCAATGTGCAGCATCCACCTGGAAAAGCGCTATATACATTAAGTACAAGGAATTAGTATTATTATTGCAGTGTATTTTGTACACGGAATATTAATTACTACACGTACTTAATAGTACAAAGCTTTGAAGTATTGCCAAGTGTACTTAGTTTACTGAATGAACGTGATTAAACGCGTTATGTTCCTCGTACTGTCATTTTTGTACTGGGACAGACAGACGGTATTATCATGTTTTCCTTAGCTTACTTCGCCCATTTTGAGTCGAACCTGCTCAGCATGAATGAACACAATGTGTCAATGTGCAGGGATACACGAGATGAAATTCTATTTCATCAAAGTTTGAGCGGAGAATGAAAAATTATTTTAAAAATTTTCCGCCGACATAAAAGAGCCATTGGAAAAGAAACATCAACAACCGAAAGCGTTTCGCCCCTGAGCCGAGTAACCCGAGAGTGACGTCGCGCGAGGGCGTACCATTACCATTTTTATAATGTCGCCCCCCCCCGAATCCTCGGCCTCTTTAAGTCCACACTTGCGCTACGTCACAGAAGTGAGGACTTGGAGGAAGGGCTTAGGGTTAGTGTGACAACTGGGACACAGCCAGAGACT